TAATTCATGCAAAAACGTTAAGACCTAGGGTGTTTCTCAATGTCGAGGACGCTTCCTTGGTAGGACATGTCTTCCGAGTCACTTCCTTCAGAAGCGAGGCAAGAATCTTTCCTAGCCTCGGAAAACGAAGAATGGTGGAACAGGCTAACAGGTGTGCAGGTGTGCATCATATGCGAGGCTCCGCCTTAAATGGAACACGATTTCCGCCAAAGATTTGGAAATTGGTCCGTGCGCAAAGCATTGTGGAGATTTTAAGACCGCGGAGGATACACATGTGCAGTCTCGAAATTTCTCGCTACGAAGGACGCCGGGCTCGGTAGAATTTCGCGTTATAAAACAATTCACTCAACAATTCATAATCATGAAGGTGGAATATAACTATATCCCGAATATTTTGTATTGCATCCAGGGGCAGAAACATGTTTATTTCTGCTGTAAAGTTGGGCATTTTAACATGGGGTCTATGGAAATTGATCCTTTCTGCAGCCATCGCCTATCGGCCAATTGATGAACTGCAGTTTGTGGCACTTCCTCATTGCCCCAGAGTTTGCCACATGGGTACAATGAGCATTCAAAAAAGAATGACATGCCATTAGATGGTGAACAATGAAAACGTGATACCTACTTAACAACATGACATTTATACCATCCAAGCATTGTCAGCATGTTAGCATTCTGGTGTTAGCATTTCGCTCTAATTATCGACAAGCGGCCCGTCCACACTATAGCTTCAAAAAAATCTTGGAGCTGGGCGTGTCTGAGAGCTTGGGGATTTTTTGCGAGCAACGCGACCAACAACCAATCACATGAATCTCCCGCCCCGACATACAAAGCAAAAAACCCCGGGGATTTTATGCGAGCAATATATATATATAAATATAAACTCCCCAAACAGGCGAAAACCTACCAGTTTCACCCACTGTCTCTGCCACCTCCCTCCATGCCTGGTTCCTCCGGTTTGTGTCCCGGTAAATAGTTACTGGTCGTAAAGAACCGGGTGATTTGCTACCGTAATTTCTCGTTTGGAATATGAGGAAATGAACTCTGGCTCTCCCAGCTTCCACGCGGTTTGATTGGCTAGCGCTTGTACTGTCAGATTTGCATAAACGGGATTTGATTGGCTGACGCTTCCACCTCAGCTTCAAAAGTTGAACATTGCTCAACTTTTGAATCCTGAAAATCCTGGAAATCTTCGCTTTGCTTCCCCACAATGCAGTTTGGCGAAAAGCGAGGCAAAGTGACGTCACCCCATTCAAAGTCAATGGGCAGAGAAGCGTTGGAAGCGTTGAAAGATTTTTTTAAAGCTGCTGTGTGGACGGGGCGTTTTGTAACGACATACAAAGTACGGGACTTACCCTTTCTCGGTGTAACGGCCTCGTAAAGATGTAACAGAATATAGAGGAGAGCTGGACCGCCCATGCGACTACATGTCCTTCACTCTTGAAGTTTCTGTTACATCTTTAACGACCAGTTACCGCGAGCAAACGTAAGGTCGCGGTGGATGTTTGGAGTGTCGGTACAGAAAAGTGTGAGAGGACATGGTTACCTACAACTTATAACGTTTTATTCGAAAAACATATTTTGTGTTTTAAATAAGATATGAATGGATAAACAAGTCGTCCCTATCAAAGAGGTGTATAATTGTGGTGAAAATAACTAAAAAGTTTCATTTCGATTAGCAACCCTGATATTTCCTGCTTGTCATGCCAGTTACGAAGTACAGTGGTGGCGATTCGATTTCCGCCGAGGTTAAACCCGAGTATTTCCTTGATGTCGTGCCAGTGTACCTGAAGTGTATGGTCGGCCGAATTCGATTTTCCTCCGATTACAACCCGATTTTCCTTGGCCTCGTGCCGTGTACTGAAGTGCAGTGGTTGGCGATCGATTTCCTCGCGATTACAACCCGATATTTCCTTGATGTCGTGCCAGTGTACTAAAGGCAGTGGTGGCGATTCGATTTCCGCCGATTACAACCTCGATATTCCTTGATGCGTGCCATTGTACCCCTGAATGCAGGTGGTAGGCGATCGATTTCCACCGATTCAACCGATATTTCCTTGATGTCGGTGCCAGTATACTGAAGTGCAGTGGTGGCGATCGATTTCCGCCGATTACAACCCGATGTTTCCTTATGTCGTGCCGTGTACTAAAGTGCAGTGTGTGCGATCGAATTGTCCGCCGATTACAACCCCGACATTCCTTGATGTCAATGGCCAGTGTACTGAAGTGCTTGGTGGGCGATTCGAATTTACGCCGATTACAACCCGATGTTCTGATGTCGTGCCAAGTGTACTGAAGTGCAGGGACGAATTCGATTTCCACCGATTAAACCCCGATATTTCCTTGATGTCGTGCCAGTAGTACGAAGTGCAGTGGTGGCGATAGATTCCCTCCATTACAACCCCGTAACTACTGCCGCAAACGGACTGAATAAATACAAAATCTTGTTTGCAACTTATAGAGACGTCGAACGCAAATTGGTGTCTGGAATAAAATCTGGAAGATGTGATGTTGTGTGTAAATTTTTTTCCATAACGGAACTCTGACCACACATTTTCGACTAGTAAAGGACCAAGATCCCTGAGATGTGACAGAGACACCTTTCAAAACAATACTTGGACACCTACAAACTCACACACACACGCGGACACAGAGATTTCACACAAAGGTCGATTTATTTAGTCCGACGTTACAGCGAAAATCGTAACACTCATACTTCCGTTAATAGTCAGTAGTTCACTTGTGTGTGTGGTGCGTGCGTGTGTTGTGGTGTGCGTGTGTGTTGTGTGTGTGGTGTGTGTGTGTGTGTGTGTGTGTGTGTTTGTGGGTGTGTGTGTGTGTGTGTGTGTGTGGTGTGTGTGTGTGTGGTGTGTAAGTCAGGATCTATAGTCTGAGTGGAGGCATGTCTATCAACAGTTCCTTGTCAAATCGGTTCCGATCTGTCTTAAAGAAGATGGTAAGTTGTACGTGCGTCATAGTTTCGACTATATTATCGGACATACAATGTGCTTTCGTCGGTCTACGTGACGTACAGACATTTAGATTATTGACCCTGCTGCAGTCTGGGGGGGGTCCACAAAGGTTTTTCGCTATTATAAACACAATCGGCGTGAAACATAATAAATAAACTCGTCAGCTCCTCGTACAGAAAATTGAACAAACATGGATTTACTGGGATGTATACGTACACATGTGTGTGGTTTGGTACCCAGAATCTGTGTATACTCGGATAATTTGTGAATCCTGGGCCGAATAGGACCTAACAAAATGGTAACCGAGACACTTCTGACGTCTTGGTCGCGTCCGGGATGGGACACTCTTCAGTATACCTGCAAAATCTAAATGTGTGGGGGTACCCGAGTGGTTGTCGTTATAGTGTGTGTCAAACTCTAACCCTAACCTGAAGGAGTGATAAAATCCGAAAACACACAAAACGTACCTTCGGTCAGCTCTTATTTTTTTTCTCCTCCCTAACGA